CCAGAGACAGACAGAAACCTGTAGCTACCATTGCTCCACATCTGCTGAACACCTGTGCTCACTCCTGCAGGCTCATGCTTCCTGACATGCCCCAAGCAGCAGCTTTTACAGGGAGCAACTGCTTGGTACAAGGAAGCAACAGAGCACTCTATAGAGAGCCAAGAAGGGAGGCAGCAGAGGCCATATCTGTCGTAACAATACAGCAATTCTCAAATCAGCATTTTACAGCAAAATTACTGATGTCTGAATATATTTAGGTTGCTTTAACAATGAGGGGTTATTCAGTCCTTGCAGTAATATCTAAGTAATGCTATGAGATGCTACCTTAAATACCAGACAGATCTCTTGACCATCTCACATAAAGAGAAGGGCCAAGATTCACTTGGATTTGCTCCCATGGGTCTGTTGTCTCACTCATCCCTTCCTGTTCTTGGAGCAGCTCCACCCAAGCACCACTCCCACATCTGCAAAAAGCCAGATCATCCTCTTTGCTGGAACCAGGACTGAATTTGCACAGCCAAGCACTTAAAAACACAGCATGCTTTTAAAATAGCAGAAAACAGAACAGAAATCAGTGTGCATATTGATAAAGTCAGCAAAGAGGAAATAACTCCAGATCTAATATTCTTTGCAATATATGTAAATTTAAGGATATATATATATATAGTATATGATCTCCAGGATATATATAGTATATGATCTCCACTTAACAAGCTCAGGTGAATAAATAGGACATGAAACTGGTATTGATTTCAGTGGAAATAAACATAAAGACTCATTGACCCAAGACATAAATGTTGACCAAAGCTAAAATGGGTTTAATACATATCTTATGGGATAATAAATCACAAACCCCCCCCAACAACCCAAAATCAATATATGTACTGTAACGATCTTTGAATGGCATGGCTAAAATTTAATCTTCAGTGGTTGTCACTCAAACTGCAAACAAAAGCCCTAGTAAAGTTTAAATACTTAACAGTAGTATTCTAAAAATAGGAAATTGTTGTGTAAAATCAATACTATGAAAATGGTTTATGATTCTTTTTTTAAAGTCATCCATTTAAATTGCACAAACTTCCACCAAATTATTAAAATTAACATTCTAAGACAGCAGGGAGCACATAATGTTACATTGCACTCGGATTGCCAGCGACCTGAATAGATGTGGTTTTTCCATGGCCAACTGACTAGCTATCATTAAAGCTATACAGAACCTTTTCCATTCCAAAAGCTAGCAGTAACAGAATTATACAGGTTATTGCAGAATGAATTAAAACTGCCTGGTCAGATTTGTAGCATACAAGTGCACATGTTTTTCAGAGCCTGCAGTATTCTGAGATTTGCGTAACTATTAGTAAAGGTGAAGAATTGAGAAATGAAGGAAATATCTATTAAGCGAGTGTCACCATTGACTAAGGAGGCAGGCACACTGAGCAAAAAATGACAGCTCCAGAAAGACAGACATAAGAAGTTTACTTATCTTAGAAGATGTCATCTGGGGAAAGTATGGAATTCAAGAAAGGTTCAGGCAGTGGACAGTAATGAGGGCACATTATTTTTGGTGGGCAGAAATGCATTTTAGTGCAACAAATTTCTGAGATAAAACTTTCCTGTTAAAAAAAAACGTGAAAATGTTGGCAGAGCATCACAGCGCCATGGGGACCCACAGATCCTGTTGATCTTTGCTGCAGCCCCAGAGATGAGAGCTTCTCAGACTGGAAGGACAGGGAAGAAGGCAGAAGACTGGAAAATATCTGGCAAGTTCTTCTCCAGCATTTGACACTCTGAGAGCACAGAACACCTCCCAGGATAAAGTCCAGATGTGAGGGTCTTTCTCACTCCTGTTTCTGATCCCTTTGCTATTTTCTGTGAAGCTGTGTGACACCAGATTCAAAGCTGCTCCCAGGCTGCAGCAAAGGCAGAACACGGCCCAGAGGCTATGTCTCTATGAGCAGATTCTCACATTTTACAAGGAGGAGGAAGGAAGGAGCAACACACCAAGCACACTTTCTTCTGCCTAGCTGACAAACAAGTGTACCGTTTATAGATGTGATGCCCAATACAACCTGGTATCTTTCTCATCTGCTGTTATCCAACTTCATTTGAACTGCTTGCTTGCTTCACAATGGATTTACCACAGACACTGGAGATATTGACCATGCTTACGCGGATCTACCCCAGGAGCAGCTGCATGCCCAAGGGGGCAATCCCAGCTCTCTGCAAAACTTGACTATCCCATCATCTGCTACTAACACAGTACCACCTCTCTATCATCTTCATCATAGCAGTAGACTAAGAAATGTGTTAAACCTTACAGCCAAACTCTCTCATTCAGGCTGCTGCAAAAAGAGCTCAGAGCAGGCACAGATATCATCAGTCCATGGGCTTTTCCCTCCATGTGGGTTTAATTGCTAAGGAACAGTGAAAGTACAGATACTTTTTGTTCCAGCAAAGCTGCTTGAAAATTTACTGACAAAGCTATTTTTCAATTAAAAATTAGGGGTTTGAATAACATATGTTTTACTGCAGAATGCTTCTGTACAAAGTTTTCATAGGAAACCCATAAACCAGTCTCTTTGACATGAAAGAAAAAATAAAAGGTATGCTTTTCCTTTTTAGCCAACTATTTTCTAGTTACCAAAATTCAGAATGTTTTGGTTCATCTGTAAGAGCTGAAAAATTTCCACTTATAAGTAGAAAACTATTCTCCTGATGTTTCTCTCTAACAGCAATGAACTCAACACAGTGCTGCAGCCCAGGTTTAGAGTATCTCTCTGGAAGACCAGTCTGCAGAAGTGTCCCATTTGGGTTTCAGACAGGAACAGAACAGGTCCCAAAATTAATAGCGGGCCAGCACAAAAAAAGTTAGGAATGTTTTGTGGTGAATTTTTTTCCATATATGTCTTCAGCTAGACTCTTGGCTCTCAGCCATTCTAAACAAAAAATCCTTTCAAAATTAGAGTGAACTTTGAAAGATACACGAGTAAGACAGACTGAACAAAAATAAAAGCACCAGATAGAGCTGCTAAATAATACCAATTAAGAAGGAATGACTCTTTTTATAGATTTTTCACAACACTCATGATCTATGTTTCTTAGTCCACTATCTACATCTTTTTAACAGAGGCTTCAAGGAACATACTTTTTAATAATTTGTAACACTCTTATTAGGAAAATATTATGACAAAACATAGCTCAAAATACCCTTCTCCAAAATAAGAAGTGCTATCCAGAACAGTAAACCCTACCATCTACTGGAAAAGAAAAATAACTTTGAGCATAATTTGTTTAGTTCTAAGAAAATATCATTGGTTTGGTATGCAGACATACTCTTTTACTTACTTCTTGTTTTTAAGATGTAAATTTAAAGCTAGGTATTTACATAACAGGGATTAGTTAAAGGCAGACTTACATTGCCATCAAATGGAATTAGTAGAGTCTTACTCTGTCTTAAATTGGCAAGTATTTTACTTCTTTACATACTCCAACATCCGCTGGAAGCTGTAGGATGTTCCGGGAAAATACCTAAAACCTTTTTTTTTTTTTTTTTTTTTTTTCATTACTGGAAAAATACTACAGGAAGTACTGATGCTAGCCTGTAAAACATAAATGCCTACAGTTAAGTTGTTTTCTACAGAGGCAGAGTTTGGAGAGTAAAAATCTATATTGGAGAACTTCAACCTGAACTGATCACTGGAGCAAAATCTAGTACAGTCATTTTTTTATTAATCATAACTGAATTTGGCATACCCATTTCCTTGGCCATTTGAAACAAAAGTATTTCACAGAGATGGTGCACATGGTCCCCAGAGATGCCATCTTTTCTCTGAAGCCCATGTGACATTAGCAAAGCCTGCAGACATGCTGTGTCTTGTCACTCTGAGATGGAAGGTACTCAAGGTGAGGAGAGGCTGAAAGGTGCCTATGAAACCAGATTAAAATAAAAGAGTGAGGTGAAGACAATTTACTATTTCTTGGTACAACCTGCCAAGAAAACTGCATGTACCTCATTTTCAAGAAAGTTTCTTAGAGGAACTGGAAATTACTGGTGGAGTTTTGAGCAGCCTCAAGCATGCGAAGTAATTATGGTTTTCATCTATGAAACTACGCTGATTGGTTAAAGCACAAAGCAAAACTGAGCTCTCTGGTAACCCCAGGAATGTATTGCAAGCCTGAATGATGCAAGCAGCACTCCCTTTAGCATGAGAAATAACCAACCACACCATTTTTCTACTGACAGAATGGTGGTCTGTGTATTTTTTCAAAGCCTTCCAGTTCTGAAATTGACTTCCAACAGAATACCAAATTGAGCTCACAGCTCCACTTCCTACCTCTGAGGTGTCCAAGAGCACTTAAACATAGTCAGCATATATATATGTAACTGGTGCCCAAAGCTCCTCTATCAAGCACAGTACAACTCTACACAACAAAGCTACAGTCCCTTGTGCAAGAGATCAAGCTTATTCAGGAGCCTGGTTTAGCTGTGAATCAAATTTCAACAGGAACTAAGAACCGACAGTAATTTATCCCAGCTTCTGCAGCAAGTGCAAAATGTATTTCTGTATCATGTTCTTTAATGAGCTTACAGAATCAAAACATTACTGGAGGAAAAAGTGTACCTTCATGGATACAGCTTTTCTATGAGAGAGAAGATGAGAAAGACACAAATATAGCAGGTATTTGTTTTGTTATGAAATGCTCTACTGCAAATCACTCAGTTATACTGATGAAGTTGGTATGAGTAGTCATCAGGAAGCAAACTGATCTGATTTGGTTGTCAAGACTATGATGAATCACTGCTGCATTTTTTTTACAGAAGGATCTATCAAATGGAAGAATCATCTAATTGTGGAAAATTAGCTGCAAAACTGAGAAGTGCTAGAATGTGGCTTCTATCCTTACATCAAGAGTTGATAAGCTTTACCTCTGTGTAAGGATGCTGGAAAAATAGCTAACATTTAGTAATTAACAAATTAACTAAGGCTAATTATTCTTACTGTGGTAAGGGCCCTCATGCCTGGGATCTTCCGTCAGTCCCCTGTTTTCAAGGACTGTGACTGTATATCCATGTTTTGCCAGGATGCGCTGACAGAGCTGGCGGTCGGTTTCATGATGAGCAGGAGGTGCGTACAGAACTGCTCTTCTTGTATGGCTTCCAAAGTACTGAAGAATGGAGTCGTCAATCTACAGCAAACACAATGCGGAGACAATGGTTGTAAGATAGGACACTCCTCAGCAGTATAATATACAGTTGTTATTTTTCACAAGAGAAACTAGTAATTGATTGTGGCGATCCAGGAAATATTTCTGGTATAATTAAGAATCCTCTTTATATCAGGGACTTCTGACCACAAATTCCATTTTGTCTGCCTCTCCATTTTTTTCTACCCTCATTTTGAACTGATATTGCAAGGGTTTGAAAGCTCAGAGTAGCAATGGAGGATCTTTAAAATACGGTCTTCCCTTTATGGAAACACCTTTGGCTGAAATCTGGGCTGCTTTGATGAGCTGGTAACAGTACTTGCCAGCAGACTTTGACCATGGGTCCACAGTATTCTGTGGGTCACCTAGCAGAAAGGACTTGGTGAAACCCATGTAAACTCTTCCAAGGAATATGGGTCCTACACAGAAGCAAAGTGCAGGGGTCTGAGTTCTGCTGTGCAGTCGTGATTAAGAAAAGTAAGAAGAGTACCGAAGTAAAAGCATGCAGAGGAATCCTAAAAGTACTGTAGATTGCTATGCCTCTAGAAAATTAAATGTAACGTTCTCAGTACCATATTGCCTTATTAGTCCAACATGATCCCTCCTACAGGAGGTCTAGCAGAGAGACGTATATAGGAGCAAGCAGAAAGGTATATGATCTCTCCAATGAATCTCAAGGAACTCTTGGGTTGTCTAACATTCATTGTCTTCCCATATAGTGCCTAAGGACAACGGCATCTAGAGAAAATTCTTCTTCTCTAGCCTGTAATATGAGCATCATGCAAAGAAAAATGGAAGAGAGACACCCCAAATGCACAGAAGTAGTGTGAGCTGCACATTAAGTTCCGAAAAGAGTGTATTAGGGGTTAAGTTATTCCATAACTTCTAATTTTAGTAAGCTTATTACTGGACATATGAAGTGCTACACAAACAAGACACCACAACTTTTTGCACAATAGACCACACTGAAGAGAGACAAGATGCTGTGATATAAACAAATGTCATTCAAGATGTGTTCAGTTGCTTATAGGCCCGGGATCTAGCGATAAAGTCACTCCTTGCGGTCAGTTCCCCAATTACAGGATGAAGTTTTACATTACACTTGGCTGAAGTGTAATCTTCTCTGTGGCAGTGAGGGGCACAAACTATTTCAGAGCCCTGAGGCTCTAATGCCACGCCTGCTTTTGCTTCCGAGCAGACATACCCAGTGGAAAGGGTTAGCATCATCGATGAAGGGATCCTGAAAAATACCTTGCTAAAACACTGTCAGTCTTCTACGTATATTTTCTAAATGTGCAGCACAAAACTACTTTAGACACTGGGATATTCAAGTAAAGGTTGATTGCATGCTGGCTGGAAAAAGCACACATAGCACAGGGTGAAGTCACAGGAACTCGCATTAGGTAACCTGTCAGATGTCCTCCTCGGTATTCCAGCATTTTTAAAACACATTAATAGGGAGGCAAGCACAGCGTTACAGCATCTCGGATTGCCCGACCCCACCACAGCACACACCATTCCTTCCCCTTCTGCCTTTGCCCCTCCCTCCTCTCCTCTTATCTTCTCTCTTTCCTGCTCTCCTGCAGCGCCAGCAGGCGCTGGCAGCCCTCCCTCTCCATTTCCCTCCCTCCCGCCCTGTTCTTAAACGCAGCCCTGGCTCTGGCCCCCTGCCTGTGCTCCCTCTCCCTCCTCCTCTGGGCAGTCCAGCCAGACACTTCCCACTTTCTATTTCACTTGCATTGCAGAATAAAATCAGGAGAGAGACACCTCTCACTTTATTTTGCAAACATATCCAGTTTTCCATCCCACGTGTGCTGCAGCGGCCAGCGTTGCAGGGTGAACTGAGGACACGTGAGGAGCACAGAGAGGCTGCAGCCCAGGACACATCCCTGTTCAGTCTTAGCTGGCGACCACGGCTTGTCCTGCTTTGGGCCTGGGGTCAGGATCCTGCCTCGGCAGCACCCGGTGCGCACACCTCCTCACTAGGGTTACCGTGCTTTACTCATGCTGACAAAAACCACCTTTCTTTGTGAAAGCAAAGCCTCCGGCAGTGTCACTCCTTAAGCATTTTGCTTCCAACAGCGTTCAAGAGCTTCTATCTCAAGTACCCAGAAACTACTTTATTTTCCCCTGCAGGCACCGCTCCAAGGACAAGTCTTGCAGGGCTCCCCCCGCCCAGCAGCGCCTGGCGGCCATGGGTGTCAGGCAGGCCTGGGGCCCCAGCGCCCCGGGGCCGGAGGCTCCGGTCTGCGCCAGCCCGTCTGCAGCAGGATCTTCCAGGGGAAGGGAGCTCTCCTTCCCGCCTGCAGATGGCAAACTCCCCAGTTCCCTGGGGATTAGAAGACATATTTGCAAGGCTCTAGTTTGGCAATGGCAAATGTTCAAGAGAACACGGGATAGCAACATAAAAAAAAAAAAAAAATAAAGGAAGTTCAAACAATGGTGGTAGCCTTCACAGGCACCCAGAGGGCTTTACTTGGGACACCCAGTCCAGAGACACGTAAAAATGTGTCCAAAGCTTCCTGACACAGGGCTGGGAGGGACTGAGCAGACCTGGCTGGGGACACACTCATCTGCACACCCAGCCTCCCCTCCCACCGCCCAGGCATTTTTATCCACTAGCTTCCCAAAAAGCCATGACGGGATCTTTGGGACTCCGTGATAATTCAGGTCCTAAATTTAACAGCTTGACCTGATGTCTAATCTGGTACTATTGAATAATATGAAGCAGCTCAACACCTTTTACGGTGCTTGCTTGAGAGCCATGCGGAGTGTTGCCAAATTTATTTCCTCTGCCCTTTCAGAGCTATTTGCAGTCCAGGTTACAAGATGCAACGTGTCCTCTGTTTTCTTGCCAAGCAATGTAGGGTAGGTTTTGGGGTTTGTTTTAAACTACCTGTTAGCTACACAGAATATAAAAAAATTCTGGCCAACTGCACACTTGCAGCAAGTGATTCCATAATTTTTTCCAAAGTTCCATATAAAATGCCTTACATCACTGGACATGCTGATCTAGTTACTACTGGATGTTTTTCAGAATTTCTGATATTATAGCAAAAGCAGACTTGTTTATACACTTAAAGAGTCTGCTGGTTTTTATAAAATGTTTCTCAATCATAAAAATGCAGTCTGGGCAGAGAGCTGGTATAAAAGAAGCAGAGTGCAATAGATGAAAATATGCTGTTCACATATTTTGATATTTTATGGTTCTGTTTTTTTTTTGGCATTCCTATAACTTTAATGTGCATTAGTCTTCAACCAAAAAAAAAAAAAAAAAAAAAAAACCATTTTTTAGCTCCTCCCCAGTTTGAAGTCTCAGGCTATTATTAGCAGGTCACTTTAATACAGATTCAATACAACTTCTGTGAAAAGGATTGGTAAAGAACATCTGTGGTCCATGTCTTACCTAGAGAACAGTGTGTGTGTGTCTCCACAGAAATTAATGAGGCTTTACAGCAAAGCTAAGATTTCCTGTATGATTTAGGATGAGGTCTCTGTCAGTTTTGCTGTGATATACCTGCTCTTACAGCTTGCAAGCCATTGTGCTTAGCTGAGCCACTGGCCTCATTTTAGTGCAATAGGCTATCACACAGATGGATCCACAGCCTTAACTATGGGTCTAAATAAACCACAATGGGCTATAAAGTGAATAAAAATGTATAAAAATTAATTTTGTAATTTTGTTTTCAGTTTACAGAATAACACAAAAACACAAAAGAAAAAGAAATGAGCATAAAATTTATTATAGGTTTTGAATAAATGATCAAGTCAAATATATATTCCTTTGAAGTCTTAACAAATGAGATAAACAGCCCAGTTTATATAATATGAAAGCTCAATAATTATGTAACCATCCTTGTCCAACTGAAAATAGACATCTCTTATCTGAGTTGCAATTCTTAGTTCTGTCTGTCTGTAAGTTCCACATAGCTGTGAAGTTCTCTTTTAAAGAGAAAATGTTTTGACATTTTCCTTGAAACCAGTTTTATCCAATTCTAGTTTATGAATGCATAAAGATATAATTGATTGTATTAGTCTCTGAACCTTTTTGCTATTGTACAAAATTTCTGGATTATTCCGAAATTTCAAAGTTTGGTCAGTAACCGCATCTTATATATAATTACTGTTGTTGTTGTTTTGGCCAAGAAGAAAATAGCAATGATATTTCAAGTTGAGGAGAGAAAAACAGTTCCTTGGCATTTTTTCAGATTCCAAGAAGATTGCATAATTCCATAAATATTGATGCATTGTCTCTGTCTGGCAAGGAAGCAAATATACAGTTTGAACTGATGCCATAGCATTTCATTGACCATCACTTCAACTGCAGAAACAAAATTCTTCTTCCTAACATAATGGCCCAACTCGTGTCTGCCTAAACTTCTCTCAGGAAAGAACTCAAAAATTATGAATCATCTTTTCAGCTACACAGTTCTGGTGGTGTTAGTCCCTGTGTTGATTACAGGCAGCCACTCATTTACACCAAGCTAGTCAAGACTGTCAGTCTTGACCAATAGCTCCAAACAACTTGACTGCAGCTTACTTTAACCCTACTGGTTTGTGGAGGTACTGGGCTGCTGCAAAAGAGATATAAGAGCCACTATGCAAACCAAAAGTCCTTTGTATGAAAGGAGAGTGCAACAGAAATACCCTGAAAGTGAACGAGCCTTATATAAACAACACTGGCAGTACTAGCAGTATTCACGGGCAGCAAACTGCCTAAATTCCCACTTAGCCCGCAAAGAAGTGTGGATCTCCCTTTGCTGCTAAATACCACCAAGTGCAACAACACTACAAAAAAATCCATGAGTGGGAGTCCTAGAAACTACCACAGTAATATTAAACAGCATTGATAAGAAGAGCTATAATAAAAACTTAGCATGTGGTTCTAATGCCCTAGGTCATTCATTTACAGGACTGTGCAGACCTTTATTAATTCCAAGTGTGACTTTTACATTCTTTTTCATGTTTGCATAAAAGTTCAT